ATGGATGGATGGATGGATGGATGGATGGATGGATGGATGGATGGATGGACATTATATCTAAAGAGAAGTGTCATCTCCTGGTCAGACCCTGTAATTCAGTGAAATTGTGGAGTCAGAGGAAAAAAATCAGCATGCCCAGGAGAAGGCCAGTGGCTGGAAGTTGGAGGGGATTTTGCTGGGAGCTGCAGGGGAGTAGGCTGTCATTCAGCTGGCATTTGACTGGGAAGGGCCATTTAAATAGCATTTTGAATGGCTGCTACTGCCAATATGGAGATTTTGTCTTGTTGTTCCCTTTGTGTACAGTATTTAATGATTGAACTGTTGGCTAACCAGGTTACATAACTCTATACATTTTAAAAGGGCCGCAGGGATTTGTAAGTTGAAGCTCTGGGATCAATTTATCACTTTCTATTGACTTGTTCTTCCTCCGCTATGCAGCCTGAATGTTTGTGCTCATATGCAAAAAGAGTAGCCCTCTTGTTGTGTCTACATAATTTACTCCTCTGGGAAATGCGTGGTAGTTTGTGATGTCGAGAGGGTGACAAGTAAATTGGACCGCATGTGTCTCAGCGCGAACCTAAATTGGTTTCAGGTGTTGAATCTGAGAAGCACTGGAGATCACGCCGTGAAAAGAGCGGAGGAAGCTGCAGCCTCTGAAACCCCACACTTGTATGTGAAAGAGTGCCGTTGTTCAGTCGCTGAAACAAATAGGATGTGATTGAATCAGGGCAGAGGGAAAGTGAAAGAAAAGCCAAATGAGAACGCGACGGGACAAAAGAGAACATGAAAAATGGAAGAGGCTGCTTAAGGACGAATTGCAGAATTGAAATGAATGAACTACAAAATACAGCTTTTCCATCTTTTGTTGTTCTTGGGAAATTTCAGTTTTAAAAAAAAAGTGTGAAAATATAACCAAAAGGCAAATAACACAATGGACGCCATGTCAAATGGCTACTAGTCTCCACACTCCCAAACAAATAAGAATGAAAACAACTGTCAACCTCATATGACTTCCTGTTAAATTCATCTCAAAGCAAACATATTTTTAAAGGTAATATATAACAGACCAAAAAGTTGCAATTGCCCATTTCTAACACCCTAACCTGAAATTCTGCTGAAAATGATCTATCACCCCTTTCATTTCTTCTCCAATCAGCAAGCAAACACCACCTCCATTATGGATCTTTTTTTAGAACAGGGTTTCCCAAACTTTTGGGGGCTGCTCATTGGCTTCTATCCACAGATACCCTTTGAATTTAACATCCATCCTTTTTCTCTTGATTAATCCTTGTCAGGGTCGTCGTGGGCCCGGTGCCTGTTGGCGACAGGTGGGGTCCACCCTGGAGAGGTGAGCAGTCTGTCGCAGGGCAACACAGAGTCAAACAGGACAAATAACCATTCTCACACACACTCACACCTAAAGGCTGATTTACACTCAGAAACCAGGTTGTCTGCGTGTGTCGCAGTGAATGAAAATGTGCCCCCGTCCCTGCCGCAGACACTCTGCTGCACCTCTCCAAAAATTGTAGGTGACCGTAGACAGGAGGCCTCTGATTGGTCAAATCTACATCCACTCTACACTATGCATATTTCCAGTTTGTTACCTTACTGGCTTGTTTTGTTTATATGACCGCCATTTTGCAAAACAACTTGTGAAGATGGACCAGCTAGAATAACGAGGTGCGCAAGAACACTGGGACCCTTTTTCCACCTGGATCCTCGCTTTTTTTCGCCCTCATGTCCCTCCGTTGTCGCACTAACTTGCCCCCACTTCCTCACCACCTCGGCCGTATCTAGACCCACAGCTAGTTCCTGATTGTCCCTCTTGCGTTGTGGCGTGGAATAACATAGCGCAGAGCACGCTTCAATATTGGGCATCAATAAAAAAATAAATACATTTGTGACAAGCTCACTACGACACGCTGCTGCGACAGTATAATCAGCCCTTAAGGAGGCAACTGTTTTCTTTGTTTATATTTTTTTTGCAGCTCTAAAGGCTTCAACCTCCCTCTAAGAAAAAAGTTTCACTTTAGTCCTATTGACAGTAATAGCAGTGGCGCCACCAGTGGGTGGCCAGGGGTGGCCATGGCCACCCTGTGCAATGCCCTGGAGACCCCACTGGCCACCCCACTCGCCAGGGTAAATTTTAGTAGCATCAGTTTAGCGTTTCATCCCATTATGCACAGCCAGCGATGGAATATTAAAAATCACACAATAAACAAAGATATGAGTAGGTGTTTACTTAAGTCTTTATGATTTCTATAGGCACGGTTACCATAATAGTAGATTCAAACCCTGAAATCATGGCGTTTAGTTTCAGTGTGCCACCCCAAGATTTTTAGTGGTCCCATCTGGCCCCCCTATGAAACATCTTTGTAGGCGCCACTGAGTAATAGGGAGCTTTTTAAAAGTGATTTGTGCATATTTCAATGGAATAAACATCCTTTTAGTCACAAATACGCAAAAGTTGCTACAGGAAATCATTTGTGAGGAAAAAAGCTGAGAAGTCATCACCCTATTAGCTATAGCATTGACCCAGGAAACAGCCAATCATAAAATACACAGATTGGTTGGTTAGTTTTTAGTTTTTCATAGTTCTTTGTTCTGCCCATTTCTAGACTGTAAGGCTTGACTGTTGTGCTTCAACTCTTCCCTTTATAACTACCTTCAAAATAAGTTGCAGATTGTAAGTACAAATCATCTAGTTACTCACTTTGAATATATGATATTCACAACAATTGATGGTTCCAATACACAACTTAAACCTGATAAAAACAAGTAAAAACACTGCTAATAGACAAGAAATTAGAAATAAATTAAAAATAAAATCAGGATGTTTAATGTTGAACACATTCCTTCCATTGTTTATACTTAAATCTTCCTTTTAGGGATTTTTTTAGCCTGCTCTTTTTAAATACTCCTTCCCCTTAAATGACAGAAATCTTCAGTTCACCTCAATGAGTGGAGCTCAATAAAATCAGTTTAAATTGATTTAGTGGACAAAGAGACTCAGCCTCACCGTTACTGAAACAGCAGGAAGAAACTTTTTCTTGTCTTTCAGGCTCAGACACACTTCTCTCACTGACAAAACAACCCTAATAACAAAAAACTAAACACTAACAAAAAACACCCACAATTTATTTTTCACTTTTTAAAGTAATAGTAATCATTTTAATAGTAGAGTATAAAAATAACAACAAACTATAAAAGTAAAAAGATAGAATTAGAATTAAACTTTATGTTACTCCTTCATGACAGAGTATTAGGGCCAAGCAAGAAATTTCTTTTCTTATATTTTGAGAATAAAATCGTAAAATTACTAGAATAAAGTTGCAACATTGCAAGAATAAAGCTGGAAAATTACAAGAACAATGTCCTAAAATTACGAGAAAAAAGTTGCAACGAGAATAGTCACAAAATTACGAGAATAAAGTTGTAAAATTAGAAGAAAAAAGTCACAACGAGAATAGTCATAAAATTACGAGAATAAAGTCATAATATTAAGAGAATAAAGTCCTAAAATTACGAGAAAAAAGTTGTATTTTATGACAACTGGTACAAGAAGCACTTTCTTCCCTAAAATGACGAATGTTGAGCATCATCTGAAGTAATACTTTGGCTCTGGTTTGACTAATAAAGAAATCTGTTAGCGAACCAGCATCAAATTAGGCAGAAGGTCAAAGTTGACTCAGGTTGCTGATTGGTGGAGCTGGTCGGTCGTCATCTGCTGGTCGGAGCTTGAAGCTTTCTTTCTGAAACGGGTTGTTGTATGATGACTTCATTATCATATTAATACAACTTTATTCTCGTAATGTTGATTTATTATCGTAATATTACAAATTTACAACTTTATTCTAAAAAAATATATAAAAATCTCTAGCCTGGCCCTAATGCTCCGTCGTATTCCTTCAAATCTGTGTTTAAAAAAAGCACACAAAAAAATGTGGGCTTCAGCCTGGTGAGTACTAGATATTCCTACGNTAAAATTACGAGAATAGTCATTAAATTACTAGAATAAAGTCATAAAATTACGAGAAAAAAGTCATAATATTACAAGAAAAAAGTCACAACGAGAATAGTCATAAAATTACGAGAATAAAGTTGTATTTTATGACAACTGGTAAAAGAAGCACTTTCTTCCCTAAAATGACGAAGCATCATCTGAAGTTAAACTTTGGCTCTGGTTTGACTAATAAAGAAATCTGTTAGCGAACCAGCATCAAATTAAGCAGGAGGTCAAAGTGGACTCAGGTTGCTGATTGGTGGAGCTGGTCGGTCGTCATCTGCTGTTCGGAGCTCGAAGCTTTCTTTATGAAATGGATTGCTGTATTATGATTTTATTCTCATATTTATACAACTTTATTCTAGTAATGTTGCTTTATTATTGTAATATTACAAATTTATACTCATTATGTTACGACTTTATTCTAAAAAATAAATATATAAAAATCTCTAGCCTGTCCCTAATGCTCCGTCGTATTCCTTCAAATCTGTGTTTAAAAAAAGCACACAAAAAAATGTGGGCTTCAGCCTGGTGAGTACTAGATATTCCTACGCTCTCACCCATATAATTGATGATGAAACCTTCGCCCTTTCCGAAGACGAGCCCGGCAGGGTCGGAGTGAAAGGTGACGGTCAAGTCCGGCGTGGTGGAGGACAGTTTGAAGGGGCTGCTGCCTCCGACGTAGCGTCCCAGGATCCGAGTCGTGACCTCATCCCCATCAGTGAAGGTCAACATGTCGCTGTCACTGATGTTAAGTCTGAGGATGATGAGAGTGAGGAAAAGGGAGACACCAACTTGTAAGGCTAGTTAGGATGACATAGAGAACAGGTGTTAACTGCTGGATGCATTAGAAATCAGAAACACCAAAAGCTGAATGCAGAAAGTTTCTGATAGTCCAGAAATGTGTCTTCATAGCCTCTGACATGTTTAGCAAGCCAAAGAAGTTCCCTAAAGCTCGGGTTTGGGAAGTTTAAAACACGTGGGGTGAAAAATCCAATGTCCTGATTTATAAAATAGTATCTCATAGTAACAAATCAATCTGAACTCTGCAACTTAAAGTCAAGCAAAGCTGTGATTCATCAAGTACTTAACTTTACAAAACAACAGATGTGCTTGACTAGATGACATATATAACATCTCAAGTAAATTAGAAATGTTGTAAATGTTGTTTAAAAATATGTTTGTTTTTTAAACTGAAAAAAAAATAATAATTTGGAACTCAAAATATTTTTGAAAAATCTTTTTAAAACTGAGAAAAGATGATTGAAACTACTTTATAGATTCAGGTTTGTATTCGATTTACTGCTGCCTTCCTCAGCGTGGGAGCTGGACTCACAGTATATGACACTGGATGTGGTATGATGACTGACATCTACAGTAAGGCGCCAGCACCAAATAGTCTCTGGTTTCGGGGGAACAAAAGTACAGGCCAAAACCAAATAAGGCAACATCCCCAAACTGACGTCAATTCTGGTGGAACTTTAGAATTGTGAGAGAGAAATGAGGTGTCGATGGGGTTTGAACTTCTCTGTACGTCCATTTCACCCACTGAACTATTGTTATTCATCTATGACAATGAACTCGGTTTTGCATTCTATGACCCCCTTTAGAAAAAACTTTATAGTCTTAAATCATTTCTTTCGGTTCCAACATTTCTTCTTTTTTTCAGTTTTAACCCTTTAAAGCCCAATCCAAGAAAAAAACAAAACAGAAAATTACTTTTTTTTGGTTTGAAGTCCTTATTTGGCCTTTTAACAAAATATGTAAAAAGAAAAAACAAAAATAAAATTTAGATATTAATAATTTATAACTATGTGATAAGTCAAGATTATTTTTTATGTAGTCTTCTGCCCTCTGTTATCAGGTATATCTGATTGTGTACAATAGGATTTTGAGCAAAGTTTTTACCATTAAATTATGCAAAAGGAGTTAGATGCAAAAACATTTCAGAAACCGTATGTATCAAATATGATACATTTGGCATTACAGGGTTAAAATTATTTCAACCTGGTCAGATTCAGAGAAAAGCTGCAATTAGAAAAGTATTTCCATTTATTTATACAGGTAACAATCATATTCTTCAAAATTTTTATATCTAAGGAAGACCGGCTAATTGCGAGGGTTCATTGACTCTCTGCAATCCTGTACACTGACCATGCATGTAGCGACAGTGGAGAGGAAAAACTCCCTTTTAACAGGAAGAAACCTCCAGCAGAATCAGGCTCAGTGTGAGCGGCCATCTGCTGAGGCCGACTGGGGTTCAAGGAGACAGAAGCAGATAAAGACATAAATGAATAAATGTTCTGTGGCGATCAGGTCCCGGCAGAAGTCATCAATGCTGTGAATCAGCATGCGCTTGGATGGATAACACAGAAAAGGGTAATAGTAGTCGTCCCCCGGGGCCCGGAGGCTGGTGGTGGAATAATCCAGTGGGGGAGTGAGACTGAGAATGAGGGAGGAGATGGGCTGTAGGTGGTGGAAAGTTTGCTTGGGTGTGGGAGAGAGAAGATTGGCCAGGACCTAAATGAAGGTGATCTTGAAAAATGATTGGCTTTGGAGAAAATGTGACCCCAGAGGTGATTGGCTGGAGCTGAACGAGGGACATCGCAGGTGGGTCAATCTTCCAGATTGACTTTTCACTTAAGCTTTATTCTTTATACTAATGTTACTTTTCAGTTTCATTCCCTTCTTAATTCCTTATCACCTCCATATTATTCTCTTTTTGTTCTTATTTCAAGGTAAAACCTTGTTCCTGATGGGCCTGTTGAACCATGTCCCCCGTATTAAGTTGTTAGCTGACAACACCTAAAGAACGCCCTTTTAAATCAGAATTTCAAATATGTTCATAAACATTTTGTATCCTAAAGGTAATCATATACTGTGTAGAAAGAAGAAAAAAACATCAACTTAACAACTTATTTTAACTATGGATTCTTTCTTTAACCCTTTTTTCTCCCCAAGATCTTAATTTTTGACTGCCTTTCATAAGTCATGGAGTTTCAGAGCAATTTCTGTCTGACATTACACAAGCAAAGAAAAAAAAGTGTATCATTGATCCACAATTATCTGGTCTAAATGCAATCTTTTTTCACTGCCAAAACGTTTCCTCTTTGGGCAGATTGGATGTGTTTTTTCCTAATAATATAAAGCCAGGTCAAATAAAAGTTCTAATTTTCCATTGTAGGACTTATGGCCTATGACAGAACATTTAATGGCAACATCTATGCTCCATATCACTGATTACTTTCTTAGATATTTGTAAGGCAAGCTGTGCATAAAGCACAGAGAAATTTGTGACACAATCTCCACAAAAAAACACAAGGGGGTTGTTGGAAATGGTTTGACTGTAGTTTTTAGGGATAATAGCAATGGAGGAGGAGCATGCTTTAGGCTTTACATCTGTGTCCTAAATAGGGGTGAGTGTTAATATGGGTGTTGTGATAAGATACATGTCACGATACTTGGGTCACAATACGATATTTTCACCATATTGCTATATCACTATATAATGCAATATTTTTCCCAGGTATCAAAATCAAATGAATAGATTAAAAAAAGCAAGTGCTGTATATGTTTGTCAGAAGATATTGATTATTTTGTTATTTTGGTATCCATGTTGTTTAAGGTTTGAACTACCGAATTGGTGCTGCGCTGCACAACAAAATGGCTCCAGAGCGCCATCTGCCAGAGTGGCGGTGCAGAGGTAGCATATTTTCCCTCATTGTTTTAGGTTAACATGTTTTGTTTTTCAAAATCGATAGTAGGAAGTGAAAGTTCCATTTTATATCGGGCAGCCGACTATCATAATATATCGCCAAAAGGATTATTTCCCACACCCCTAGTCCTAAAAATGTTTTTTAGGAGGAATGTGCCATGCTTGAAAGGCCATTAAATATAGTCTTTGTCTTCCGGAAAAAAACAGTATTTGTAAAAAAATAAATGAATGGCTTTTGGAGAACAAAAATTTGGATCATGTTGACCTACTTTTTCATGTGAAAAGTGGGCGTTACTGGCTTGGACAGTCACAGTGGTTAACTGCTGAGTTTAATGGGGTTTAACTGCCTTTGCTTCTCCTTTTGTGTTTCTATGTGGAAACCATGGAAACATATCATCAATGTAGATGATGTTGAATTTTCCATTAATGCTTATGTAATCTATAAACACTGTGGATCCCACAATGTCAATGCCTCATCTCAATCAGCCACTTTCCTTAGATATAAAAGCTTTACCAGACTGTTTGCATGATCTGATTGAAGTGTCTCTGCAAAGTGCCTTGAGGTCAGGGGCGGGTTTACCATTAGGCAAAACTAGGCAGTTGCCTAGGGCCCTAAGTTCCTGGGGGCCCCTTAAAACTCTGTTTTTATGTATTCTGTTTACATGTATGCTCAAGTTTGCTGTTTATGGTAAATGTCGAAATTAGCAGCAGCAAATCATTTGAAAACAAATGGCGGGAAGAGCCCTGTTGTCAACTCAGCGCTTTTGTCGCTATATTTAGCAACTTTTCAGACACCTCTAGCGCATTAAACAACAAAAAAGTGCTTAGCACCAAATCTAGTGACTTTTTTCTGTTACTGGAGACTTTGGCGACAACATCTAAAAGCAGTGAACTCTGCTCTCCAGAGCAAGTAGATTGGTAACCCCGCCTCCTGGTCTCCTCTATCTTGTCTGCTGTCATGATTCATGCAGCTGTTATTTCATCCAAATGAAAAATGGAGAACAGATAAGCAGATCATGGCTTGTCTACAGTGAAAAGAAGGACTGGGTTATTTACTTTTGCGTTCACCTTTTTTTGAAACACAGGAAGGAGCAATCAGCTATGTTAGAATGGGCTTAGTGATTGAAAAAAAACTTTAATTTCTTATGAGACAGCATGAAAGGTCAGCTGAGCACATTGCCAATATGAAAAGAAAAAGGGACAAAAGAAAACAGAAAGAAAACAGCAAGAAAAGAGATAAGAAGAGGGGGACAAAATGTAGAACAAATAGTGTTTCTCTAGTCAATAAAAATGTCTGTATAATGGGTCTGTTTAATGTATTGTCTTCTCATTCAGAGGGCCCCCTGCCTGTCTTTGCCTAGGGCCCCATATTTCCTAAATCCGCCCCTGCTTGAGATGACTAGAAAATAAACTAGATTAAATCTACGGCCTCCACAACAGAGTGCGATTAAAAAACATGGAGCCTTTATTAAACTTTACAACTAGGACTGAATTTTCAATGAACTTAACTTTTCTGAGCTCCAGAGTGTCTGGTGGAGAAAATAAAGGAGGAAAGGAGCCCTACTAATAAAAGCTGTAATTGGAAGCAATAAAACAGGCGACGCACAGGCGATTCAGTCAAGACAACAACCATATATAACATGTAGAGGTTGTCGACAGGTGGGACGAACATTAAATTTATTTTACCATCACGGACTTTTCCTTTTATTTCACTTTAAAGCTGAAGAAAAGAAACATAACAGAGTTGTTATGTCTGTTTCTTTTTATCTTAAGGATGCACAATCACATTAGAACTATATTTAATCTCAAGACGTAAATGCTATAAAAAACTTTATGGATTTAAACCCTAAATGATGACTTTAATGGGAATATCCGGTGAAAGTGTGAGTTGGTGTTTATAATTTCTATTCAGTTTAGCTAGTAATATAGACATATTTTAACAACAACTGTAAATTATTCCAGTATAAAACATAAATTGTTATCCAGTTGGCTTAACAATTTATAAATGTCAGGTCAAATGTGAGAAGTGGCTAAAAATGGAT